CCCCCCCCCCCCCCCTTTTTTTTTTTGTTGTTTGTTTGTTTTTTGTATTCTTTTTTTTTTTTTTTTTTTTTTTCTTTTAACTCGTCGTATTTTCCTTGTCGCTCTCAACTTCGATATCTGTCAAACTCCTACGCGTTCCACTTTTCCCTCCCCAATAACCGTACGCTCTAATGGAGTTCATAATACATGTAGGCAATAATATTATGCATTTATGCCCCCTTACCTAATACAGCTGACAATTCCGATAAATGAACGCCACACCTTTACTATTATTATTATTATTATTGCAGCATCAGTGGGCAAGAAGCATGTCCTCGTGGAGGTACTTGGCGCGGCGTCGCGAGCGGACGAGGACAATCGCAATGGAAACAAAAACCAATGCCGCTGCTGCAGTGCTGACAGCAATACCGACCCATTTATTTCTTGCATTGTCAATACTCGGACTTTTTGGAGAGACATTGGTCACGTATTTCATGAATGTGAAGTTGTACACCTTTGGTAGACCGTATGTGGGCGGCATGGGCGTAAACAAGTCATCTTTCCATTCAAATGTGGGTTGCTGTTCATTTGTGGGGCCGCAGATGACATGGGAGGTGTAGTGGTGGAGATCCATAACCATTCCACTCCACGTGGCAATCTTCGCATCGGTGGCACCGTGGTCACGGCGGCCAAGGTACTCGTACAGTGGGCCGTAGTTCTTCGCATCCCCTGCTGGGTTCAGATCCCCACGTGAGGCAATTGTCAGCATGGCACTAAATGGAGGATTACACGTATCATTCATGCCAGCCCCGGTGCAGTTTTGAATGAGGGATAAATTGTCCTCCTTGTAGTTGTTGTACCGCATAAGACGCTTCATACTTTCAAGGCTGACCACGTCACTTTCATTGCGCTTAAACATCTTCGCCCTTGAGCAGTTTGTGTAGGAGAAGTAATCTCCAAACTCCTTCTCTTTCTTCAAGTAGCCGGAAATTTCGTAGACATTTTCAAAGTATGGAATGTTGTAACTCGCCCAGTAGCCATACTTATTGAGGTGTTCAGTCATGTCGGCAGCGGTTACCCCAAGAGGGTACGTGGAGCCCGGTAACTGTTCCGCAACCCAAAACGTATTTGCAGGCATTGGTGTCTTTGGATTTGCCACCGCAGCCATGTTTAACACCATCCACTGATTATTGTACGTACCACTGTTGTTAAGAGAAAAGTACTTCACCCACGAGGGGCTATCAGTGGCGAGGAAGTTGGCAATCATCACACGTAGAAACTCTGAGACGGTCTTTGGGTTGAGGTATGCGTACAGGCTGTCGTTGTAGATGCCATTCGTCGTTTCCATGACCGCCAGTCGTTCACTTGTCATGTACCAATCGTCAATACTGTGGATCATGCCGGGGTAAGATGACATTGTGACAGTGCGGTGCTCCACACGATACGTCTTGTACTGCCGCAACATGCTGTTGAATGAGGACCATGTGGCATGCGAAAAGTAAATGTCGTATTCCGTCACCTTCACAAGGGCTGAGCAATGGAGATCAAGAAAATGCCTCGGGTTCGTTTCCCGCAGCCCCGCGATGGTGTTTTGGGAGGACACCGACGCAACGACGTCACCAATTTCCGCCAGGAAGTTCAAATAAAACAGCCACGTGCGATTCAACAACACACCGCCCGCCCCCACACGGGCGTTGTACCCCGCCACCATGCCGTCAAGAAGAGCCAACAGATTCTTCAGCTGACGGCCGTACGCGTCAACCGCATCCGCGGTGTCCATGTACTCCACGTGTTCCTGGATCCACTTCACAGCCTCTGGCGAGCTTGCCAGGATTTCGTTCAAACCGCCCTTGCCCAAGAAGCTATTGTTCAATTGCGCTTCCATGCGCTTCTGCGTTGTGTACCCCTCGCCGTACCCCATTGCCTGGTAGGCTATTCGGAGCATCTCATCCCTCGTCTCAATGGGCCCCGAGTGCAGGAACTCCTTGTCCGCCTCCGCATTCACGACATCCCAGCCATTCTGCAGGAAGGTGTCATGCACCTCCAGTGTGGCGGCCACGGCGCCAAACAATTCCCCCTCCGTGACGGAAAACTCCTTTGTCTTCATGTTGTAACGCACCTTCACGGTCGTCACGTCGTCATTTTGCCAGAACTCCGCCCGTACACCACCCGTTGCGAGAATTGCAGTAGCCAGCAGTAGGAGTGTGACGCCAAAGATAACGTCCTTCACGATTCTTTCACGCCTCATTCTCGAGTTGCCTTTTATTATTATTATTATTTTTCTTTCACTTGCTTGCTTGTATTCTTTCCTTCTTTGTTTGTTTGTTTGTCTCCCCTATCGTTTTCAATTTTAATATAATAACTTTGTATTTCCACGTCACCTCGTTAAATAAAACGTTCGTGAAGCTCCCTCTCTCTTTCTTTCTCTCTTTCTCTCTCGTATGTATGGATGTATATATGCGTGTGTGTGTATGTTTGTAATTCTGCGATGTATGCGGTGATGACTCTAGCCAGTTAAACAGTCATGACGGTGACACACACACACACACACGGACAGACACAAAAGGGATGCAATGAAAAAAACAAAAAAAAAAGGCAAGTGAAGTCAAACACAGACACACATATATAAACAATAACAATAAAACACACACAATACATAACAGCCATCACAAGTGAAAACGTACCGTGGCAAATTTTCCTCCCACCACTTGTTCTCTCTGCTTCCCGCCAACAACTCCCACAACGCTCAGTCTAGTACATCGCGCCACTGCAGCTGCACATCATCCGCAAAGGAGCGTAGCGATGCAACGCGCTGTCGCACAAACGCCGCCTTCTTTTTTCCCTCACGCCACGGTGCGACAAGCTCCCGCAGCAACATCAGCGCCACAACATGAAAACCTGCCACCGGTGCGTACTCATTTCTCAGCGTGTCGCGCCCAACGACGGCGAAGAAGAGGCACGTGAGGATAAAGCCTGCAGTGAACCCTGGCAGGTGGGCCAGCAGCCTCATCAGCAGCGGGAGATACCGCACAAGCTGCATCAAGAGCGGTCCCCCAAAGCGCAACGGCGGAGCTTCCGCGTTCGGTTCTTCTGGCCGCGGCATCCATCGCGAAGCCATGCCCATTCCCTACCACCACAGTTCCTTTCCCTTCTCCTCCGCATATATACGCACGGAGTAATTCAAAAAGCAAAACAAACAACAACCAAAAAAGGGTGTCGCGGTGCCGCCGTGGTTGCATGCAACAAATCCCAGAAAAGAGAACCAAACAAAACTAAAAGGGATATCACGTTTCTTCCACACAATCTTTTTCCTTCACTTCACGCCTCCTGCAGCCACAAGATTCGCATCCTCCCGCCGAATCGCGTGCGGCTCTCCTCCACAAGTTCATTGCGCAGTTTCATCGTCTTCTCAAAGAGCTCCTCCACAGCAGCCCGTTCCTCTTTGCCCTTTTCCTGCGTCCGCACCACGCAAAAGTCCAGGATGCAGCGGAGTGTAATGAGAAGGGCCTCCCAGCACTCAAACTCCGGTTCCACATGATGCGCCGCATTGTCCGTGATGAATTTCTCCATATCATGGCGGACTTCCTGCACAAGTTCAAAAAGTCTTGCCCACACGTCTAATTCATAACCGACAGCAAATAAAGCCCGCTCCCGTGATTCAGCTGGATACTCTCCCCCCGCCTCTTCCTCGCCGCTGCAGTAACGTCGCCCGGTAGCTATTGTGCGGAGATAAACAGCAATGCCAGTGAAGATTTCCATCTTCTCTTGCTGCGGGTGCCGTTCTGTGGGTGGACTTGTGAGGGCGCGTGTTCGCTCAATCAGACGGTGTATATCGTCCCAGCGCAAATCCAACGCCTCCACCGTCCGCTGTTCACCATGGGATGCTTCCTGCAGCGCAACGTCCTTCACGCCAGAGGCCTCTGAAGCTTCTGCGACAACAGCGCCACGCACTCCCTCCACCATCTCTTCCCCACCCTCGCTCGTATGTGACGTGATCTCCGTTGACATGCCCTGTCGTTCACTTTGCTGCCGTTGCTCTTCTTCCATCGTGGTGCTGCCACTACCACTCGTGGCATCCGCCTCAATCGCGGAGGTCTTTTTGGCGGAGGCATGTACAAGCGGTGGGTAGGACTTAAATAGTCCCCTCTCGTCAAAACACACGCGGATTGGGCTCCATGGCTCGCGCGCGCCAATGTACCGACCCAACACACGGCTATCGGCCACCATCTCCACTTTAAGCCACAACGAGCGGTACAAATCATCCTGCGCCGCGCTGGAACCACGCACGGCATACCGCAAGAGCCGCTGTGCATCCGAGTCCCGAGAGCTGGCATGGGTGGAGTACTTCACCATCTCCATTAGTTGCGCCATGAGATCCGAAGTATATAGCACGCCGCTGTACGAAATCATCGTCAGTAATGATAGAAATACTCTTCGCTCAGAGACTGCACGAGTGTCGTGCAAATCGGCGTCGACCGCGCGCTCTGCGGCAGCAAGAAAAACAGAGCACACGTCTGTATCTTCAAAATCCGTGTACTTTAACAACTT